GCACTACAAGCCACAGGTCTCAATTTCCAGTCCCAAGATTTTTTTTTCCATACTACACCCTCGTTGAATTAAATGGAAGAAAGATCTCATTGAAAATGTTGGGATTTGGAAATTGAATGTTCTTTTACCAGCTGCAGTTCTGCTGTAAGAATTTTATTTTCAGTCAGACTTGCTCCAGAAAGATAAACAAAGCAGCAGAAGGAGGTGATGTGAGGAGACAGGAAAACCTAGCTGTTCACCATATCAGCAAACCCTTTTTGCCTGATACAAGCCCTTTCTCATGGAATAAGTCAAATTTGTACATTATTTTCAGAAGTGACAGCCAAAGGGAAAGTGAACATCATAAGAATTACCCTGTGAAGCAGCTTCATGGTCCACCAGCCTAGGAAAATATTGTCAGGAGTATCAGGGACACCAAGTGTGGCAGTTAAATTGGAGTATCAACTTGATGGGCCTCAAGGACCGTTGGGGCCTAATGCTGGCTGCATCTGGATGGGTCTTAGAGGCATAGACTTAGGGTCCATGTCTAGTCCCTTGTCTGCTCCTCTCTGGCATTGTTCCCCTGCTCTGCTTCCTGGCCACCATGAACTAAACAGCTTTGCTCCACCACCCCCTTCCACCATGATGTTCCTGCTTTGGACACAGCTGACCATGGACTGAGTCCCCTGAAACCATGAACTAAATTAAAACTCCTCCTTGAAGTTGTGGGTGTAAGGTATTGTATTCCAGAGACAGAAAGCTGGCCAATCTACTAAGGGTGTGGTTATCTGAATAAGGCCCACAGTCAAACAAACTGCTGCTGTTCCAGTGTGGCCTTAGGATCACTCTGCCAATAGGCTTGGCTGCCACCATGAAAACATGGACAAAGCCTAGGATAGAACAGCTGGGCTTATTTATGTGGCTTATATGAGTGTGTTGTTATGTGGACAGGCCTAGAAATACAACTAATTCCTTAAAGCCAAGTTAAGACTCCATACAGCAGTGTTTGCTTCTTTGTTGCTGTTCTTAGGTTAATTAGCTTGATTGAATCAGTCCACATTTTATATAAGCAGTATATCAAAACACCACATATTTTCCATGAATGTATACAATCATGATCTGTTCATTTAAAATAATACTTAAAAATTTTTAAATAGAAACTTTATACTGTGCTTCATTATAGACTGCCCTCTTGAAAATGTGAGTGGCCTCTGGTTCCTTCTTCACTCAAAAATACATGTGCCAATGGCTCATGTAGTCCTTCTCCTCCTCCCTCTGAACAGGAAATGTGTGTGTTGTATCTGGATTGATTTCTGATTTTTCTCATAGCAAAGCTTTTGGCTCCAGGCTCTGACACCTTGTGTCTGCCTCACTGCAGGACAGGAATGTATCCCATGTGCAGCCTGCACGGGGCTGAGCCAGCAGCATCTCTTAGCCCCATCCCGACTCAGGCAGAGTCCCAGGAAAGCAGCATGAGGACTAGAGGCTGTGTGGACCCCACAGACCTGGGTGATACACACTTGGGGGAGACGTGGCTCCATTTCCCACATTTCCTTCACACAAAGCATGATTATAGGGAAATGCTTCCATATGGTCTGGGGGATCCCAGCCAACACCAGCTTCCACCAAGAAGGGGCTGCAGCAAAGATCAGGAGAGCAGCACCATGCTTACAGGCAAGCAGATTCTGCTTGGCCCAACACATGTAACTGGAACCTGGGAGATGCCAGCATCCCATGCGTGCAGCAGGTGATCAGCTGGTCCTCACCTCATGTACTGCTTGGAAGGAGATGTCTATGCACTAGGGGTGCTTAACCTGAGACTCCCTAAATAGGCATCAGGGTCTGACAACCACCTCTTTCCAAAAAAAAAAGCAGGGGCTTATGAATACACTTGCATTTTCCAAACCTGGAAACCAATGAGAGAGAGAGAGAGAATATAGAGTTACCAAGAGTGAGATTCAATTCAAATTATCTTGATTCTTAATCTCTCTTGGACCCTAAAAAGTAGAGGTCTTCTCTGACGAGATTTGCAAACTCTTCAAGACCAAAGCGGATTCCAGGTGCTTGCTCAGTATGTGATATCCTCGGCTCTCAGCCACAGGACAGCCTGTTTCTCCAAACTGCCTCCTCTGGTGAGTCCTTCCTTCAATTGTGGTTTCTGCTACAGGTCACTTTTTAATGTCAATACCTGCACACAATCCCCATATGAACTGATTATTGATTAAAAAAATCTGTTGACAAATATCCACATTTAGGGTGTATAAGAGGTGTGACATCCTTTGGTGTCAAAATGAGTAACGTTTCCAATAAAGATACAGCCAGTGTTTACACAGCACCTGCTAGACACTAGTACTACAGAGTGCTTAGCATGGAATGACTGATACAGTCCAACAACAACCTCATAAAGGCAGTACTATTGCTATTAACAGTTTGTAATGACTCTTGTTATTCAGTTTAAAGTGACAAAACCAGGACACATGCTTAAGTTACATTTGCTTGCATAGCTAGAAAACAACAGACCTAGGGTTTAAACCCAGGCCCTAAATTTCTTAGCCATTTCCCTACTTTGCTTCTCATAATTGATGTTGTGAAATGCTGTGTTCCAGCTCCTCCCTTCCTCAATGGGAATACACTCAAGTCTCTGAGATCTCCTACTCCTGGTGACTGACTCTGGTTTCTAATGAAGAATCAAACAGGGCCCATAGGGAAGAACACATTGATGTTTTCACCATGTACCACCCACCCCCAGCTGTACTCTTCTTCCTGTCCTGGGCACTCTGCCCTCTATATATTCTCCCCTTCTCTCCACTCATCAGTTCCCTACAATCAGGTTTCTGCCTCAAAATCCCTGGACCACTACTGTAGACTCCTGCAAATATCACAAATAATCTTCAAGTTGCCAAAATGAAATTTGGGGCCCTGATTACAGCTGTTCTCACCAGAGTACTGAACATGGTTGAATTACCTCTTTGAAGTTACTCAATCCTTTGTCTTCCATGCTGCTCTTTAATTTCATGGTTGTCCTACCTAGTCTTCATTCCTTCTCAGCTGGGTTTCCCGAAACCTCTTTCTTAGTGAAATGCCTTGACGTCAGACATCCCTCCAGAGACCATCTTGGCTCTTCGGCCTTTATACTCTACAGCACACTGTCTACAAATGGCCTCGCCTCCCTTTATAACTGAGCATCACACCTGGCACATTACAGATCAACCCTCCTACCACATACAGAATGCAATCAAGATCTGTCTCAAGGAATAAAATGATATCAACAAACTGAATAGTTCTAAAGCCAAACTTCTGGAGAGAGGGAAAATTCAAGATGGAAGACTCTTACTTTCGAAGTATGTATACTTTTTATGGATTTCTTACCCAAATGAATAGCAAATGTGCCTATCCAGCTGCTCAAACTGAAAAATTTGCTTTGTCCTAGCATCTTCCTTTCTCTCAGGGTCTTCATGCAAAGAATTACCAAGCTTCTGCCGATTCTGCCTCCTCCCTATCTCTGAAATCATTTCTTCCTCTACAATTACTACCTCACTACCTGAGACCAAGGCCTCCATATTTCAAACACCCCTGGGTATTTTTTTTAAAGCTTCCTATGTGGTTTCTGTGCTTCCACGTTCACTTACAAGTAACCCAGCCTCCACACGCTGCCAGAATTAGTTTTTCACTAAAAACGTAATTCTAACCTCACTAGTCCACAGCCTAAAGGGCTTTAATGGCTCCACAACCTAAAAAATAAAGCACAATAATGCATTCAGGCCTAAGCAACATAAAACTAGCTCCTTAAAAAAAAAAAAGAGACACACTCCTTTAGTGTCACACCATGAACTCTGTTTCCCCTGTCTGCAAGACACTCCCTCCCCTTCCTGTAAGGATCTACCCAGTTGGGGAATAAATAATATCCTTATTTTATGAGTTATATCAAAATAAATTTAGATGAATAAACCAAATGTGGTGGCTCACACCTGTATTTGCAGCACTCTGGAAGGCTGAGACAGGAGGATTGCAAGTTTGAGGCCAGCCTCAGCAACTTAGTGACTTAGCAAGACCCTGCCTCAAAATAAAAAATGAAAAGGGCTAAGAGTGTAGCTCAGTGAGAAGCCCCTGGGTTCAATCCCCAGTACTAAAAATATAATGATGATGATTTTGAAATTTTAAATAAGTTCAAACGAATAGAAGATTAAAAAAACAAAACAAAACCATCTAATACTGGCAGAAAATATACACGAATTATTTTTTCCCTTCTAAGCACAGGGCAGAGTAAACTACAGTTTGAAGGCCAAATTCAACTTGCAACCTATTTTTGTAAATAAAGTTTTACTGGCAAACAGCCATGACCAGGTTGTTTGTTGGTACCTTTACAACACCCTGGTGTTTTAGCACCTGAGATAAGAGAGCCTAGAACATTACTAGCTAGCCCTTAACACTGAAAGTTTCTTGAGCCCTAAAATCAAAGGCAGATTGTAATGAAATGAGAAGATGGAAACTTCTGAATAAATTTAGAAATGATTGACTAAAAGCATAAACAAAAATGAACGATTAGAAAACTACATTTGAAACAGGAATGACAGGTGAAAGCTTAGTGTCTGTGATGCATTAGAAGTTCACAACAGAAGAAAAAGATTAACAGGGAAATGGATAAATAACTTCAATGGCTACATAATTGAAAAAAAAACTAATCATCAACAAATATATGACAATATTCTCTGCCTTGTGAGCAGTCACAGGAAGGAAAATAAAAATTTAGTACTTCAAATTTACCTGAAAAATTAGCAGATGTTATTAAAAACAGCAACATTTTGCATTGTAAAAGGGTAAAAAACGGGCAATCTTTGAAGAGATGCTGAGAACAAAAATTTTATGTATTTTTTAAAGAGATTTGACTTTTATAAAACTGATCAAAGTTACTGCTAACCAAAAAATCCTAGCATTTTGGAAAATGTTCTTCTAGAAATAGTGTAAAATACAACTTCTTTTACAGTATTTTAGGTGATATCAAAGTGGGTTTCAAAACTTACTTTTTTCTGGAGAAACATGTGACTTCGACTGTCCCCGGACAAGCCTGCAGGTGGAGCCATCGCCAGCACAGACTCCACAACTGTCTTCCTTGGCGACACTGCCCAGCTGCCGGTCACAGCCCACAGCCTGCAAGGAGAGAGGGGGTCAGGGGCGCAGGGTGCAGACAGGGAACCTCTGTATGCAGAGAACACATTGCTTCTGCTTGGGCTGGCACCCACACCACAGCGCTTTCATTTTCTTTATTTTTTATTATTTTATTTATTGAGACTAGGTCTTGCTAAGTACCTAAATTGTCCAGGCTGGGCTTGAACTTGCCATCTCCTGCTTCAGCCTCCCAGAGTGCTGGAATTACAAGCATGTGCCACTTCACCATCTTCCTTTGTATAATTCTTAGGCGAGTCTCCCCAAATTAAACGCACTGCAGCTGTCCCTCCTTACCTCATTCCTTTTCATTTACAGTTTATTTAGATATTTTTATGTATGGAAAGAGACATAGATGACGTCTCCTCCTCTTTCCTCACCTCCCCATCCTATCTTTGCCCCATTTTCTCATTTCCTCCCCCAAACAGCCACTACCCTGAGTAGATATCTTCAGGTCCATGGTGTCTTCACAGACCTATAGTTTTACATCAAAATATCCATGTCTCTACTCTGTGTCTTCACATCTCTTCCTTCTCATTATCTGTATCTATTCCCACCTCCATCTCATTATATCTATCTATTTATAAACAAATACTAAAGAGAAGAAATCAATGCAGAGATGTCTCAGGAAGAAGTTTATACTGTTATTTCCACTCTCTCGCCAGCTGTCAAGTCTGTGTGTGTGTATAGCAGACCTCTATATAAGAAAAAGACTGTGTTTATTTATTTCATAAATATGTCTTTGCATAGCATGTACCCAATACATTACTTGATCTGATGGTCTACCTCTGCCCTCAATCTCACCCAACATCATTTATATTTATAAATGGTTAAAAGTAGGACCTTTGGAGGCAGACAACTATTTCCAAATTCTGATTTTCCTTGTCTTTCAAAGTCAAGATGCTGAAGAATCTCAGACCTTGGGAGACTCATTTTTTTCCCCTCAATAGTAAAACAGAGATAATAATACTAATATGTACTTTGCACTTTGCAGAGGGTCTATTATTTTTTACGGTTGCCATTTATCTTCTTTTAATTAATGCATGTGTGTAATAGAATAGTGATGTTTGTTTGGAGGAACTGGTATATGTATATAACATAGCATGGTCATTTTCCATCCTTTCGCCCGCCTCTTCCTTTCTCTCCCCTCTCCTCTGTGTTTCAGTTGGAGGAACTGATGAATCAGACTCTACACCCAAGGTATTGAAGAGGAAATAAAACTGGAGGAAGTTCAAACCACATCTTTCCAAAACTTTGGTGTTAAAGGGAAGGAGAAAGATGAAATAAGAGTCTCCGAGAGAGGCAGAAAATGTTTCAAGGAAGTTTGGAAAACAGTCCATGCTTACAGCTATTTTCAAGTCCACATGGGGCTGTCAGGAGAGAAGGATCTTCATTTGGTCTGTGTTTCCAAGTGGTGAAAGCTGCACAGTTAAGCACAATTCAATCCAATATGAGAAAGTCTGAAAAGTCAGAGACTTCTTGGCAGGGAACTTCTTGAGGGGATTAAACTGTTGGATAAGCAGCTAAATCCAATGACTTCTGAGATCCTTTCCCCCATTATATGATTTTATAAAGATAGTAAAATACAATCTAATAATAGCTGATTTTTATTGAATACTTACTATGTGCCTGGAACTACACCATGCATGTGACATGCTATTTCACCAAACATTCACAAGAATCTGTGACACAGGTGACACCTTTTATCTCTACTTTATAAATAAGGACACTATTTAAATGTCACTATGGTTAAATGACTTACCAACACAACACAGCTAGTGTATGGCATCAGTAATGGTTTCTAAGCCCAGACTGTCTGACAGCAGACTCTTAACACAATATTACACCTTCCTCCACCTTTAGGATCAGCAGATGAACAACAAAAATCTCGGTTGCAGGGGCCAATATATGATTATTTACAAGTACATGTGGAAGAACTTAAGAGTGATTATTCTGGAAACACTCTTGCATGGCTAGGATTGGATCAATGAATAACTGTGTTCATGCAACCTTCTCCACAGGGAATAATTCCACCATGAAGTTAGAGAAACTCTTTCCTGGGCCAAACTCTGTCTTCACATATCACTGTCCCTGAGCACTTTGCATTTTATGAGAATGAGAGTCACCCTCTATCTGCTCATCCAGGAAGGGTGTGGATTTAGGAGCTAGGGTAGGCTTGTTTTGAAGAGTGTTCAGGGTCTTGCAAAATCTTGGGCAATCGAATTCATCTCCAATCACTTATGTTTGCTTCATAATTTTTTAAAAGTTAAAATTCACCCAAATCTTACAGCCAAATAAATCATGCAAAAACATCCCAGAAAAAAGATATCTGAAAGAGGCTGGGTGCCTTATGATTTATAGAACATAAACCAGAACTGCCCTTGAGGCTAAAGGACAGCTGAATTTTGGCTTTCATAGTCCACCATAATCAACCACAAGCAGCTTTTAAAAGCTGCCTGAAGTGTTTTCAACTGCTGTGACATCTCCTGATGCCAGAATATCCAATTATAATGATTTATAAACTACTAATTGAAAAAATATCAATAAAATGTATTAAGATCTCTTAAATAACCATTTTATACAATTCCAAGCACTACAGACTATAAATTACTAAGACAAGATCCTTATCTTACAGTGTAGTTAATGAGGCAAGTTACAAGATAGAGGATAACATAAACAAATATTTTAAATACATGAGCAGTGCTCACTGGAATAAGTACTCATCTGTAAATCATCACTTCAGCGAAGAATTATTTCATAGTTTCTGCATATGATTTACTAATGAATTAAAAGAAAATAATATTTAAATAAGTGTCGTTAATCCAAATTAAGCAAAATATGAATTTTTCCCAGCTAAATCAAATTTAATCCCTCAAGAACCAAATAACTTTTGAAAATCAACTTCTGTTTGAAATCCCTGAAAATTGGTTTCTACCCTAGGGAAAAAATTAGCATTTCTGTCTTAAAAATCTCGCACGAGCGAGAAGTAACCTTTAATTGTTTTAAGCCACTGAGCTTTGAGGTTTGCTGGTTTCTTCTGGAAAATCCAACTTTTATTACACAGGAGTATAGTAGTACAGTATATTACCTAAATCATGGTCTTAATAGTAAAGTGATTTTAAGAATCAGAATTTTCCCATTAAAATCTAGATTTCTGCTTCTGCTGACAAAAACAATTAAAATTAAAACCTTCAACATGGTGCTATGTAGCTGTCCCTTGAACAACAAGCAAGCATATGTTCTCCAGTTCTCTGGCCACTCTCATGACCACACTTGAGCAGTTTCCCCGAGGGAAGAGTCGAGACACCAGAGTTTGAATCTATACTAAGCTACTTCTGCATTACTCACTTGTTGTTCTGTCTTTACCAGAGCCACATCCTACTTTCAGTGAAATTTCAGCTATCCTCAGAGACACACAGAAAGAAAAAGTACTGAGCAGTGGGTAAGAAAATGGATTTGGGGATAAGGTTCCCTGGGTTCAAATACCAGCTCTATCATTTTCTAGCTATGCACACTAGACTGAATGTTCAGGTCCTCCTAAATCTCAAAATGTATTGAGGTTCTAATGTCCAAAGTGTTGCTATTAGGACACAGGAGTTTTAGGGAAGCAAGTAGGTCATGAAAGAATGGCCTGGGGAATGGAATGTGACCCTGGGGCCTCCCTCCGCCCTTCCTGACATGAGAACACAGCCACCCATGAACCAGGATGTAGGAGCTCAGCAGACCCTGAACCTACCAGTGCTTTGATCAGGACTTCCCAGCCTCCAGAAGTATGAGAAATAAATTTCTGTTATTTATAAGCCCCATGGTTATCAAGTTTGTTATAGCAACCCAAACAGTCTAAGATATCCTCCAAACTATGAAAATTACTATTCTATGATACCCATTTTCCTTATAAACAAAACAAGGATGACTACTCTGCTACTTTATCAGGTTGTGATGAGCTACTATAGTGAGGTGATTAGATGACACCTGATCCCTTTGTCATTACTTTTATTATAAATTCAAAGTGGTTTCTTCCTCTACTCAGCAGTCAGGAAATTCAACAAATATAAATGATAAATCAGACTTACTCTGCAGACCTGGCCTGATAAGAAGCAGAAGCAGAAGCAAATTTCATTCAGTGAGCACAGTTGCCTGTGATGCTCAGGCTAATGGAGAGTTGTTCCCAAGGGCACTGTGACATGTTCATCTAAACGATCCAACTGTAAACACACTTGCAAAAGTCATTTGTAGTCTGGGCCAAGTACTCATCAGGGCTCACATCAGCAATCTTAAGGCCAGCAGAGGGAATACACAGTTTATGCTCTCACCCTAATGGCTGCTAATGTCCATGGTCACACAGTAAAGAAAGAGAATTTATGTGAACATTATCCTGTCAAATGAAAGACACAGAACTCAACTGAGAAGAATATGAATCACTTCTGAGGAAACACATGAAATTATTTATTCAGATACCTGGGCCAAAAAGGCACTCAGCTTTCAACACATTACTGCCCATTAGTGCCCAAAGAATTCGCTTACCCTACTGGAATCACAGAAACAAGGCAGGAGGCATGCATTTAAAATGGGCTAATTCAACACTGAAAAACACCTTTGTCCTGCAAGACCCTTCAAACCTTGGAAGTGCCCGAAGCAAGCCAGGCAAATGGACTGAAATAGTTACGAGTCAGAGGACAAAGATGGTGTTTGGGGCATACAATGGGAATCAGGAGAAGGGACCCAGGGCTGACTGAAGTCCTTTTCTGGGACAGCTGTTGTGCTGGGCACTTGGAATGTTGTTTGTGAAAGAACAAATTTAAATCAGAACCTACTGAGAAGAAAACATCTCCTTTTTGCTCATCAAAAAAGCCAAAACTCATAAATATTAAGGGAGTAGCCAACTAAACGGTCTTCCTCTGATCAGTTGCATGAATAGGATCAACATGCAGTCCTCTAAATCTGAAGTCTGTACAGTCCTTAGCACAGCCACATGTCTCAGGAAG